CCCCAATTCGGGGTGTCCGGGGCCCCCCCGGCCGCCCCCCCCGCCGGGGGAAGTGACTCGGCCGCGCTTCCTGGGGCGGTGTCGGAGCGGCCGCGGGCCCGGCCATGGAGCCCCCCCCGGAGCGCGGTGAGACCCCCGGGGGGGCGAGGGGACCCCCGGGACCCCCCCCCGGGACCCCCCCGGGACCCCCCGGGACCCCCCCGGGGCGGGGCGGGGGCGGCGGCGGAGCCGGGAATGGGACGGGGAAGGGGGGGGAGACACGTGGGGAACCGGGGGGGGCACCGGGGGGGCACCGGGGGGTCCCCGAATGTCACGGGGAGGGGGCGCCAGAACCGGGGGGGAGACACGGGGGGGTCGCGGTCACACCTGAGGGGGTCCCCAAAGGGGAGGGGGCAGGGCTGGGGGGGCCCCCCCCCCCCCCCGATGTCCCGGTGCCCCCCCTCCCCCATTGTCCCGGTGCCCCCCCAGGTGACCGTGCCCCCCCCCCAGGTGAGGCGGGACCCCCCCCCGGTGAGGCCGAGCCCCCCCCGGGGCCGCTGGAGCTGCGGCTGCGGACGGTGGAGCGGGAGCTGGCGCTGGTCAAGGCGGCGCTGGGGGAGACCCTGCGCAGGTTGGGGGGCTGCGACCCCCCCGGGGGGCTCGGTGAGAGCGGGGATCCCCCCCCCCCAGGGGGAGGCGGGACCCTCAAAGGGGGCTGGGACCCCCCGAAATGGGACTGGGACTCCCTGGATGGGGCTGGGACCCCCCAAAATGGGACTGGGATCCCCCCCTAAATGGGGCTGGGACCCCCTGGATGGGGCTGAGACCCCCCGGATGGGGCTGGGATCCCCCCCGAAATGGGGCTGGGACTCCCTGGATGGGGCTGGGACCCCCCGAAATGGGGCTGGGACCCCCTGGATGGGGCTGGGACCTCCCCAAATGGGGCTGGGACCCCCTGGATGGGGCTGAGACCCCCCGGATGGGGCTGGGATCCCCCCCTAAATGGGGCTGGGACCCCCTGGATGGGTCTGGGACCCCCCGGATGGGGCTGGGATCCCCCCCGAAATGGGGCTGGGACCTCCCCAAATGGGGCTGGGACCTCCCCAAATGGGGCTGGGACTCCCTGGATGGGGCTGAGACTCCCTGGATGGGGCTGGGACCCCCCGAAATGGGGCTGGGACACCCTCAAATGGGACTGGGACCCCCCTAAATGGGGCTGGGACCCCCTGGATGGAGCTGAGACCTCCCGGATGGGGCTGGGATCCCCCCCTAAATGGGGCTGGGACCCCCTGGATGGGTCTGGGACCCCCCAAAATGGGGCTGGGACCCCCCGAAATGGGACTGGGATCCCCCGCATGGGGCTGGGACCCCCCCCTAAATGGGGTTGGGGTCTCCATCTCGGAGTCCCTCACCCTGTTTGGGGTCCCCGTTTCTTCCCTCCCCCCCCAAGCTGGGGGTCCTGAGGGAGGGTCTCGGGGTTCCGGGGGGGCTTTTTGGGGTCCTGAGCTCCCCCTCTTCCCCCCCCAGCCCCCAGCGGAGCCCCCCCGGAGCCCCCCCGGAGCATCAGCGTGGGGACGCAGAC